TTAAATGTTGCTTAATTGGATCTGTATCTAATTTCACATTTCCCTTTCATCTTCATCATTTCTGGCAACGAAGTCAGGTTGTGGTGGTGGTTTTGATAGGACTGTGCTATCGGAAAAAATACTACTTACGTGTCTTTCAAAAAAAAAAAAATTTAGAAAGATCCTTAAACTAGAACTATGCATTCTCGGATGAAGAATACTCACGTTTTGATTGTAGAGGGAAAAAATATTTTCTATTTATGTTCGTCCTAAAATAAATCAGATACAAAATAATTAGTTCCGCTGATTCTCTTCTTTCTAATTAAAAAATGCAAGTATATACCTCCATCAGTTTCTCTTTTTATCAATGTTAAGAGACCCATTGTTGATCCTGATCGCTGAGATACCTGTAATTTCGTGGAAGTGGACCGAAGGTTAGCGATAAATATTCATGATTACTTTATCCGATTTTGAATCCCACCAGATCGACTCAAAGTCTCAAACGTAAGAAATTCTCAAAGATATTGTCTTACGTCCAGTGGGGCAAGTGCCAGGTCGACTCAAAGTCTCCAACGTAAGAAATTCTCAAAGAAATTGTCTTGCGCCCCAACACCGCTTCGTAGTCTGTCTCAAAGACTTGATTGACGCATGACTCGAAGTCCTCACGTCAACGCTACCAATATTATCTAAAAAAAATCAAAGTAAAAAAAAAAAATAAACTCGCCTGTTTGTAGCTTATCACCCTGCTCACGCTTTGGTTTCAAAAATGACCTCGAGGGAGGTAACCTTTCCCACTTCTGTGATCAAAATATTAACTACTTTTTACAAGTCGGGAACTTTCAGGAAGATTCTTTCATGAATTCAAGTTCCTCGTCAGCATTTTACAATATTATCCAACGGAGGAATTTCTTTTTCTTTCACGTCCACTTATGCTGGGAATTCATCATCATCATTTCAGGTGGTAAAGTCTGGTTGTGGTCTCGCTAAAATAAAAAAAAATTAGAAAGATCTTTAACTCGAACTATGCACTCCAACTATGCATATTTAGATGAAGATACTCACAGGAATTGATTGTTGAGAAAAAATATTCTTCTATATTTTTATTCCTTATTGCCTCTTTATTTTCGTAATTAAGATGCAAATTAATTAGTTCCGATAATTCTCTTCTTTCTAATTAAAAATGCGAGTATATACCTCCATCGGTTTCTCTTTTTATCAATGTTAAGAGACCCGTTGTTAATCCTGATCGCTGAGATACCTGTAATTTCGTGGAAGTGGACCGAAGGTTAGCGATAAATATTCATGATTACTTTATC